TCATTGATTTCGCTAAGAGGTTACCAATAGCTTTATATTTTTCTGGCATTTTGATAGCTTATGAGGGCGCGACAACCGAAAGCTTTAAAGACCATAAGCAATCGAATAAGATACCCTTCACTAGAATTTATATAAATAAATAACGAGTTTGGCATTAACAAAATGTACCATCAAATTGCGACACTTGAGCGAAACGGCCACCAAAAATGTGGCGAAGGAGCCAAACAGGCAACTTCTTGTTTGAGATCCCGAACTCAAAGTCCCGGTCATGTCAGTGAAAAAGCCGGGGTGTGAGGAAATTGCAGGACATGTACGTGACTCGAGTCGAGTGTTAAGCCACAGGAATGGGCCACGAAGAGCACGAAACAGCTGGATGTCCGCATGTCCTCCGCCAGTGATGGCAGCTATATTCTAGACAATTTTAAATATTATTCAATATTCAAAATTAAAGATAAATCAATGATCATGTACATCATTGTATCATTTTCAAAATACCTAATCTTGAAAATCGCTATGTCTTTTTATTAAGGTGATTTACTTAACGTTTAGCTATTTAATGGCTATTGATTTAGCCTGTGTCCTGCCTCAGTTTTGGCATCACTGCCTTTCTGCGTTTTCTCGCTCCTTTGAGTGGTTGTTGGTCCTTCGCCGTTTGTTTGCTAGGCGTGGAGTGTTCAGCTGATGACGGTTCCTGCCTGCCACTCTGCCTGCTGGTGTTCCTGGGTGTTGAGCGTGGTCCTTAGCGATGAGACCAGATACAGCAGCACAGACCATGTCAGGCGTCGCCGTCGGAATGGTCAGAAATGTGTCTCAACTGGTAACAGGCCCAGACATCATGGGCGAACCAAAAATGCGAGGGATAATGCGGCTGTGAGTTGTTTTCGCAAAATGAAGATAAATGTTTTAATGCAAAGTTGAAATGCTAAAGCCACACAGAATGACAAGTGAGTTGCAAGCAGAAGTTAGAATACAATGAATAATTAAATGAATGTTTAGGTGATAAACAAATTTCAGAAAACACAAAAGAAGATTTAGATAGAATATCACTACAATAAGAAGTGAAATTCTTTTAAAACAGAAACTTCCTTAAAACAATTGAGAACCCTTGAGTATTAATTTAGTGACTGGCATTTTAGAATCATTTTTCAATAGATAAAAGTTGGATTAGTTAGTTTGTTAGTTAAGTAAAATAATATTTTTTCACAAATATTACCCTTATAACGTTCACTCAGGCAGAGTAGTAGTCGTTTATCTGCTTCCTTTTTTTTTTTTGTATTTTTTAGTATCCCACGCGTTCTAATTGCCTCTCCCCTTAGGTGTCGTTGGAAGAACATAAATTAGTGACAAATTCATTGATATCGACACATATCGAGTGTCAGGGAGTGTCCGGGCAGGTCCTTCGGATGACTAATGAAGCGCTGACAAATGAAACAAATGTCACAACAGGCGACAAATGAAGCGCACTATGTTGAAATGGTTGCGACATAAAAATGCATTTAAAAGACGAGAGAGCAGAAGTGGCAGATGTTGACGAAAGACAAACTACTGCGGCAATGATCATTGGGTTTGAGTTTTATGTTTGGGGTTCCTGATCCCAGACCCTATAATTATATTTAAAGCCGCAACCGCATACAAAAAGATGCTGGTATGCTCAGCCAATAATGTCATCATCATTACAAACCCGGACATGTTTCCCATGTGGATGAGCGGGATTAAGAACTTTCTGATAGAGTCAAAACAATAAAAATTAAAAAAATAAAGCCAGAGCGTGTGCGCTTGCGTGGCCCTATGTCATTTTACAATCCCCATTTCCACCGAGAGGTCAACTAATCCAAACGAAATTGAACCTTTTATGAGGGCGAGGGCCAGGGCGTCTCACTTTTGCCTGCCCATATGCTCATCTTTGTTTTTCAAAAAATTTCAGGGGAATAACTCATAAAGCAAACATGTGCCGGCAATGTGTGACCAAATGTTGGGACAGGCAAACAAAGAAAGTAAAGAACTACTCTAGAGGATCACTCCCAAACTCAAGCCCTGAGACACGAGACAACTTGGGAACCTTTTAATTGGCGAGAGGTGAGATGTGGTTCGCTTCCAATCTGATACAATCCAATCAATTCTTATCGAACACGCGATGCAATTAGGAGTGAAAAGCAATTATATGCCGTTGCCGCTTCTCGCCTCGATTTATGGAATTTTAATGAGCGAAATTATGCCCAAGGAACGCAAAAAGTATCGACCAAAAGTCAACAAGAACGGCGAAAAATCCAACAATCATGATGATGGTATGAAGCCTCCGACAATGTAAACATTTTCGGTTAGATATTTTGCTTGTTTTGGTTGCCATCGCTCTAATAAAAAACAAACCAACGTGCCATGAATATGAAATTTGCTAAAAATATTCAGCGAATGCATAGCGCCTCTAAATATGAATATATAAAAGTATAAAAGAGAAATTACAAAAAAATCGAAAGAAAATGAAAACTTGATGGATTCCACACAGTTCCGTTTTGGAAGAGTGTATTATTTTTGGCCCGGTTTGCAAAAGTTTGGCTTAAATAAATATAAAAGTGTCTAGACGGGGATTTATTGCCAGAAACAGGGATAAGCCGTTGCGAATATTAAAAGTCCTTAAAATTTAAAGGAATGTACAAAATTAATATATTTTACGCGAAGTTTGAAAGAATTTAAATAAATAGGGAAAAGCAATAAAGAGAAATTCTTTTACATTTTTCTGTTCAGCTGTCTAAAATTTATTTGGGTTTTCGTTTAAAACCAAGTTTCGCCCGCAGTTGGCTCAAAACTTTTAACGCAGTTTTCGTGTAAGGGATAACCCTTAACCCGTTTTCCACCCACCTGGGCCACCTGTCAACAGCATCGTCAACAAAATCACCACCACCATCATCATCATTATCATCATCGCCATCTCACCATCTTTCGGGATCTGCCAGTAGTCGTTTTAAATCCGAATCTCCTGCTTAATTAATTGGCCTTCTTTTTGAATTTGAAATTAAAACTGTCTTAACCCTTTTTGCTTTGGCTGCCATTTTTAGCCCTTTTCCCTTAGTTTTCCCGCCCATTTCCCCCCCTTTTCCACCCCAGCTTTTCACGCATTACTGGCTGCTTAATTACAGAAATTCGTGAGGGGGCTACCAAATCTGGGGTTTCGTTTTCCCCATTCTAGTTCACCAAAGAATTGCATTCGCCAAATGTCTGCAAAATGTGCACCCCCCTCTGTCTCGCTCTCTCGTATTGCCTCTCTCGTTTCCTTTCTTTTTTATGTTTTTTTCTTTTTTTTTGTTTTATTGTAGGGGCTGTGTTCCATTTCCGTTGCGTTCCGCGACCGCTCCTTGGATATAATATCTCAAAGGTTCCACTCAGAATTCCGTTTGCTGGCTTCCCGTTCGGTGTGTTTTGAAATTTTAGCTCCGTCTTTTTTGTCCATTTAATTCCAATCGGAAACGCGTAACGGTAACTTGAGGACCTTCCTTTGTGTGAGTGTGTACTCTAGGATCTTAGTGTTTGTAAAACCCTCTTTCGGTTGTTTGTAATACTATCGCAGTGTGTGTGGTTTGAGTTGTAAACAACGCAGACTCTCTAAGACCAAAAAGGCAATTTTCGGGGGCTTTCCCTTCGGTTCTCCCTTCATTTCCCACTTGACGTGTTCCCATTACGCTGCTCTCTGAACAGTCCCCCTCTAGTTTTCCCTTGATCATATGGCGCGCATTTTGCGTGCTTCCTTCCTTCTTCTTAAGTTTTTTTTTTTGTTTTTCTTGGTTATTTTGTGTTTTTTGGCCAACTTCCTGTTGCGTTCTTTGAGAACTTCAGGGCGTTTATTGTGTGCATAACTGTCGGGTTCAACCTTAAATAACCGTATATTGCAGGCAAATAATTTTTGGTCGTCGTGTGCAGTCAAATGCAAATTTCATTTTATTTTCCCATTCATGCAAAATGAGTATTTATGACTCTTGCCTTGCAATCGCCTCTTGCCGTTTTGATTTATTCTACTTGACTTTTTTTTTATGTTGGCTCCTAAAATTTGGGTGTGTCGCGATTTTCGAAGGATATGGGCGGGGAAATTTAGAAGTCAGTAAAGCAAAATTTTTATTTTATTGGTTACGGCAGCTGATTTACTACATTTATTTAGGGGCATATGGAAGTCAAATATATATTTTTTGAAAGGGACTTTTCAACATATCCATTTAATATAAATATATATTGAAATAAAGTATATGACTCTTCTAACAGTTTTATACTTGGTAACCACAAAACTTACTTGATTGCCTAGTATGTTTTGTGTAAATTATTTAATAGCCCTTCTCATGTTTTTAAGCCCTTTACTCAAATTACTTCAAACTTCCTACGAAACCCTTAAAAAGTTTACAAAAATCTAGCCACAAGCTCATCAACTCCGAGCATCGTTTGCCAAAAAATCCCATCGAAAAAGTGTAAAAAAATAACGCACGTAGAGAGTGTAACGGAAACTCATGAAACTACAGGATATTACACAAATACAGATAAACAGCAACACCTATTGGCCAAAAGGGTACGAGAAGAGCGGAGAGGGTCAGAAGTTAGCTATAAACGAAACGAAGGAAGTCCAGGAAGTTCCAACTGCGGTTACGGTGGAGATGGAATCTGTAGGCTCATGGCTTTGGATGTGATGCAAAACATATGATTTGGGAGAGACCCTTTTGGGAGAGTTTTCCCTGCTCTCTAGCTGAGTTTTCCCTGCTCTCCATCTTAGTTTTCCTTGCTCTCCGCCTGAGTTTTAATCTGAATTTTTCCTCTCAGCTTAGTTTTTCCTCTGTTTCTCTCCCTTTTGAGCTACCTTATCGGTCTCTGCGCTCACTCACTCAACAGGAGAGTTTCGCTCTCTGCAGCGCTGCTTTCACATGTTTTTTTGGTGGTGGAAAACTCGGTTGGCCTAGACATAGCGCTCTCCCATCAGTTGCGAGGACTTTTCCAATATGCTCTGCGCTCATTGTGTCGATTGAGTTGCTCGTGGAAGGACGACGACCACGGCGGTGTCTCCAGACTTTTAAATTTCGGTTCGGTCCGCGCCAAAGGATATACAGAGACACACACATTAATATATAGCATATACCTACCGCCCACCACCCCTCGAATACATAGGCGCAGTGAAAAATTCTATACGTTTACTGTGTCTGTGTGCGTCTCTCGCGTCGCGTGTTTCAGTGCAAGAGTGTGTGTGTTTGTGCGAAATGGGCACAGCGAAAATAATTTAAATAAATTCGGAAAAAGTCCGTAACGAAAGCTAATACAAATTTCTTTACTCCTCGTAAAGTTGGATACAAGAAGTAAATTTAACACAGAAAATATAACATATACCATAAAGAAGTATCTATATATTTAAGATATATTCATGTGTGTGAGCCAGTGTTCAATGTGCAAAAGTGTTGATGGAAACTAAAACCAAATAAAACGTAAAGCTAACCGGGTTTTCAGTCCCAAAAGAGATTATAGTAGTAAAAACACAAGCACTCGACAAAAATCAATAACTGGGATTAGTAGCTGGAGTTTATTACAAAAAGAAACGGAAAAGGAAATCGACGTTATAAAAACAATTAAAGTAAGCTAAAGTTTCAAAACTAAGTTTATGAAAATATAAATATGTTTATTTAGAGAAAACTTTCAATACAAGTTGAAATTTATACCAAAGATAAAGGGACTTGTAAGGTTAAAATGTTGAAAACATAGAAAGATTACTGGAAAAACGAAAAGCAACCAACATGGCTTTTAAGAGGATTTCTTTTGGTGAATTAAAAAGTCTGTAATGATAGAAATTTGTGTTATGTCGATTTTTTTAAAGAATTCTAGTTCATTTTGTTTGTTGTGTGAGTTGGAGCATTTGAGGTTAACACACCTTAGACATATACATACACGCCACACATACACCCCGAAACATACACTAATACAGAGAGAGGAGCCCCAGCCCGACAAGCCAAGCCGCTGGACTCTTTTGCTCCTGTGCGTATGCAGCAGTTTCTTTCTCTGTTTTTGGGGAGCACGAAAAATCGATCGAATCCTTGTTCCCCTCTTTCGTCTGGAGCTGCAATTATGTTTTGCCCCATACCCTCTCCCCACCATAACGGTAAAAGGAAAACAGCAGCGGCCGCTTATCAGCAAAAATACGAACTCGTAGTACTCCAACATAGTTTCCCAGTAGGAAAATTGGCAGGACTCTGCACAGCAAGTTATGAATTTTCTCAGGGGGTTGGTTTTTAGCTGAGAGTGCAAGACCCTCTCTTGGCTTTGCAGATTTTTAGCCAACTCTCTGGAAAAGCTGAGAGTGAGAGAGTGAAAAGCAGCTCTCTTTGAATTGCCGCCATGTGGACTGCACTTGTTTCTCGGCACTTTGCTTTCACTGCGAAGTTCTTGCCGGTTTTCTAGTCTCCGCTTTCATGTTTGCTTTGTCGCGATGGGTTGGAAAAAAGAAATAAAGGGTGAATCAAAAGAAATCTGCTTAAATACGACTCAGGGAAAAGGAAAGCACAGCTAAAAGCAGCTATTTTATCTAAAAGATACCATAAGGGAAAATGGGGAAATGGTTGATATTTTAAAGGACTATTAATTCAAGTATTGTAAACTTGCCTTAATCAAAGTAATTCAGAACTGTCAATATTTCAAAAAGAAATATCAAAACTAAAAATGCTTATAATAACTTAATTTTTATGGATTTTGTTAGTTTGTCACTTAAATTTATTATGACACACAGTTTCTTATTGTCTTAAAAAAAACTAATAACATTTTGTTTTTTGCCTAAGCTAATTGAAATCTCATTTCAAAATATTTCGCTCCACCTTTTCCTCTTCCTTCACAAACCTTTCTCACATATTAAGCGCGAAATTGCCTACACGAAAATATTTCCATTTTATTGAAAAAGATAAAAAACTAATCACTATAATTTGTCAGTCAATAATAACAGCAATAATTTGCAGGCAACAAGAAAACTATAATCTAGCAATTTGCGAGCAATAATGTAATCAGTAAATTGCGTCTACACTCTTGACGGTCCAAACAAAACAAAAAAAAATCCAAGACCGAAAGCTCAAAGCGATCCAAAGATGCTACACAATTCGGAAAAAATTAAATAAGAGGAAAAAATAAATATGAGTATAAATCTACGTGCCAGTCAGGAAAATAATAAAACACCGTCTGGCCAAAAGATATTTTTGTGAGCAAAGTGTGGCAAAGGAGATTCAACGAAATCAAGAAACTGTGGTTAAAAAGTTATAAAAACCGAATTAGTTTGGTAGTTTTAAAGAAAAATACATATTTTTATAAATTTAACTCCATTTAATAATCCGAACCTTATAAATCCACGATTGAAACTTTAAATTAAAAAATCAAAAATTTTTTGGCTCTTAGGAACTAAAGAAATACTCCAACCATCTTAGCCCACTGTTTGCCACTTTGCCATTGACAGCGTCGATGTTATCGCCTTGGTTCAGGCCAAAGGCACAGAAAAAAAAACTAAAGTTGAAGCCACGGTGACGTTGACTTTCGACTGTGGGAATTGTGAGAGGAGCAGCGAAAAGCTGCTTGCCACCTTAAAAGCCCCAGACAGTCTCAAAGAGTTCTTGGCCAAGTCAATATAATTGACTTATCTGCGCTGCATTGTTCTTGCCTTTTGGGGCCAAGACGAGTCGTTCTTTTTCTTGCTATATTGTATATATATATTTTTTTTGTTGCTATATTGCCCCGAAGAGGTTGGCTGGCTCCTTTCTGCGGTTGGGCTTTTGAAACATAATGAAGCTCGCTGGCCTCGTATTTGACTTATTGCGGTCGAAACGCGCCGCCGTCGAAGATTCATTGATCGATGGCGACGGCGACGCGAGAAGCGAAAAAAGCACGTGAAATATTTGACTCTTAGGTAGGTGGATATAGGAAATGCGACGGGGGGCCCGACTGCCTGGTCAATAACTATTGAGATTGATTGAAATTGCTTTGCGGTTGAATCGAAAGCAAAGCAAAATCACCAACTTTTTCTGCTTATGCAAAATAGAAAATAAGAAAAAATAAATAAAAACAAAGGTAGATCCGAGATTGGCAACTTCCTTTGCGTAGAGCATTTTCAATTAATTTTTTTGGCATTTTTTTCCACCGTCAAGCATGGCAAAAAGTCTCAAATTATTAATTTCAACCTCAATTTCCGTTTGGTGCAATTTTCCACTCAAGCGACAAGTCAAAAGCAATTTATTTGAACCCTAACCCAGGAGAGAACTGGCGTCTCAAAGACACGTCTTCCCCAGAATGCGAGGTAAACAATAATCATTTCCTTGATGTTCCATGTTTGCATTCTTGGAGTTGCAGTAAAACGAATTGGGAAATTGAGAATTTCAAGCGCTCAATGAATTTGCATGCCTCGCATTCGTGTGTGCCAAATATTTAAACAATTTCTCATTTATTATACTTTTGTTGAAGCTGCACGAATTTTAATTTGATGCTGTCTCCTTTGATATGCTCTGAGCAAGGGCTTAGATAGGGGGATTTTAAAGAAAATGTGATGTAGTGTCATTTAGTGAACCAACTTTCCTAATAAATTTTTAAAATGTTTAATAATTTAAGAGAAATAATGGAAAAGCACTGTTAACTACATTTTTGCCAATTGACTTTTGGCTTCCAACATCTGGTTTTTATTACCCTCTCAAAAAGGCGCTACCTACGTCCCTGTGCAATAAATCTTCTTCGACTCGGGGTCTTCTTGCACTCATTTTTGCTGGTCCAGGCCAACGTCTTGTGGTCTCTTTGAGACAGGGCAAAAACGAAATGAAATGAAATCTTTATGAATGAAATTTCTGCTTAATGCATTCGTCTTGGCGAGACCATGTGAGCAGCATGTGTGAGACTTATGATGATGATAAAGTCTGCAATGCGGAGGAAGGGTCAACTTGGGCAGTCCGGAATGCCACTTGGAAATATAATATTGCCCTCGCCAAATGTGAAACATTTGTGTGCCCTGCCCTCGACTTTAATTGAGCCTTGCTGTCTTCGTTTGAGTGGCAATGCAGAATATGTCATTTCTAATGGAATTTTCTGGCCGCATAAAAATGCAAACAACTTCCGACCGAGGGCGTACAATAAAAAAATTAGTTTGGATGCATGCGAAGGCCTCGCATGAAAGAGTTCCAACCAACCCCTCGGGATGTCCATATTTTCCGCTGCATTCCATTGCTAATTGAGGACAATTAAAATTTATTAGCTGGCAACAGCAATTAAATGCAGACACCCTGTCAGAAAACGAGAGATTTTAAAACGTTTTTTGAAAAAATTAAAAAACTGAAATGGGAAACGAAGAGGATATGATAACAGGGCAGGATAAATAAGTTAAAGATTATATATTAGTAAACACTTACTTTGTTTGCAAAATTGGAATAGCAATTTTCTTTCAAAAGCTCCTGACTTCATAAATAATAAATGCACAGAAAAATAATACTCTACATACAAAAGGTTGAAACGAGATTAAAAATGATTTTTCCAAGGATCTTTCTTGTCACGACTTAAACAAAGATGTATTTGTCGGATATCAAGTATCTGGGCCACTCTGACATCCTTCAACTCTCTGCGGGCTAAGCTTATAACTCTAATAAGCTTACATCAACTCATATTCTGAATAATTGCATTTGCCCTGGAATTGTAGAGCAACCAGCAGGGTCAAAACATCCACCCACTCCCACATCCACTTGACAATCAATCAATCTTAAGTGGAGGGCTGCAGAGCAAAATCCAGAGAGAGATCTACATACATACTCTACTATATCTGTGTAGTACAGTGAAAAATTGAGGAGGGCATTAGCTGCTAATCTGCATACTGTGTCAAATGGCGATGTCGGGATGCATCGAGTTAGTTTATTTTTTGCCAAGTGGCACTTGCAACAAATTGGCGATGAAGCCACAGCTGCGGGTGGCTCATGAAAAAAATTTGTGATTGAGGGAAAGGGGATTTCATTTAACCGAAAAAAGGGGAAGAGCTCCTAAATCTTCTGGCAACTTTTTGCCGCACTGCAGCAGCGCCAACAAAAACAATGGAAAATCAATAGGAATTGCAACCCCAAGCAGGAATCATAGTCTGTGATCCGATGTCTCGGGTCGGGTGATTGCCCTCTTTGCCGGTTGCTGCGGTCTTCTCTGTCCGCTGAATGAATCCCGCTCCGTATCCCAATGCCTCCTTTTATTTTCCTCCCCCTGCGGCCATCCACTTCCTTCTTTGACAACAGTTCCGGCATCGTCTGCGTATGAGTGTGTATATCGATGTGTGTGAGTGCGAGTGTGTGTGCCAAGGATATTTATGTATGTGCGCTCGCGCATCGTATCCTTTTTATTGCACAAAAGCAGGAATACACTCGAAAAACATTATTTTTTTCCATTTAACCTCTTTTTAAATTTATTAATAAAATGTTTCTTAACTATTTTAGGTAAACATTAAAATTGTTTATTTTTTTCAAAAAATACTCAAAAATAGTTCAAGAAATAATATTTCTAAAATATTTACTTTTTTGTTTTAAAGTGCATATTTTTTCTCAGTGCAAGAGCGGAATAGGACAGACTCTCTGGGGGTGGGCTGCTGAG